GGAATATTGTTTGGATTTCTGGTGGCTCTGCAACTAATCGTATTTTTCCCCATCTGTTTGCTTTGCTTTGACTCAGGGCTGTCAAGGGAGGGGGAGTGTAGGGGATGAGAGAATAAGAAATCTGTCTGTGTAAGATTTATCCCTTGGCGCTAATTGTCTCACCCGCTCCTTCATTAGGATCGCTCTCATCAACTCATTCCTGGCTGGCAGCCTCCAACTCTGCCTAATCCAGGCGAGGTGCTGAGCCTTTTCTTTGTTTGTAGAGAGACAAGGTTTTCCCATAGGTGTAAGAAGTTTCTGCAACCAGATCATCTCAGGAGCCCTACATCTCTGAAGTTGTCTCAGCCAGCCTTGTAACAGGGCTCTCTAAAGTTTTGACTACTGTATTGCTCTCATTCACAAAAAAAAACCTCCAAACTGTCAAAGCACGCCTCAAAGCCAAAGGATAAATTAAACTGCTTATGTCACCAACAGCAAATCCCATCTGACTTCTATATCCTCACCCAAAGCAGAAATGATAATGGTTTTTGAAAGCAGTAGAGTTTTTTTGAGGGCAACAACAGTGGAGATCTTTTACAGGTCCCTGCACAGCAATGACAAGACCCAGAGTTAGATGCTTGCAGTCACTGCAACTGACCTTTGAGGCCAAAGAAAGGAGGTAAATATTGCTATATCCTCTTTGCTCATAGTTTCTGCAGTGGACACACCTACCACAACCAATACATGGGGGGAGGGGTTTGTTTCCATTTTCATGAAAGTTTTGTTTATTTTCCTTTTACTTCAACAATTGGGGGCAAAAATGAATTGAATTGCCATTATCTACATAGGGCCCACAAAGCCAGATTACGGCATTAGGTATCTCTCTGCATAGTCCATTGAGAGCTGCCCTGTTATTACTGCAAGCTAAGCAGGTCACTAGAGAGACCTAGAGGTCCCAATTCTGGAAACTTATGCATGTAATCCTTATGCTGCTGCTGACCACAACAAGTTTATTTGTGTAGTTAAAGTTAAAAAACTTCATGAAGTGCTTGCAGGATCAGAGTCCTATTTCCCTGGATGGTAGTTCTGCGGTTGGTAAATAAGTGCCAGGAAATAGAGCAGAGACATGCTGGTTTGTGCATCCCCAGGCATCCCCAGGAAGACAGAAGCAAACTCTAATATTTACCAACCTGAAAAAACTGTAAAAACCTGGAGTTTCCAGCTTCTTTGACAGTACTAGCAGCAGAAGAGTGAAATAAATTAAATAATCATGCCATAAATACTAATTAATTGCCATTAAAAAGTACTCAAATCGTTTAAAGCAAAAATGCAGCCATTAATCAGAATAGCTCAGGTACCTAAATAAATATTTACTATTATGCGTGCATATTTAATCTACCTACCCATCAAAGACTAATGCTCTGTTCCTTGCCAGTGAGGCTTATTAACATCCTAGAGGGATAAAACAGTGCCCCAGCACTGTGCAGGAATAGGGCACAGGGATTTAAGAGCAACACAGTTGCACAGGTAAAAGTATAAGCCTGGAAATGTGGTCCTATATATAGACTTACATACAGGAATAACCTCACCTTATTACTTGTGTTTAAACTAACAGCTCTAGGCCCTAATACACAAACTCATTGTCCAAGCCCTTCTTAATGGATAGATCCAATCCTGGAGAGCTCCTAAGCCCACACATCAAAGTCTTCTCAAGATCAGGATTTAACATATTGTATTAATGAGAATTACTTTCAAGCAACTGTGCAAGAACAGGTCTATCTATAGCTTTCAGAAAACAAACCAAACCCTCCATGTTTGAAGTCTGCGCAGAGATAAGTTGTTCAGAAGTGGGTTGGAACTATTTTCAGGAGAAAAAAAAAAAATCAGCTAGGAAAGGAAAACAGAACTTCTAAGCTGTAAAGAAGGGATGGGGGGGAAGACATAACTGGCTTTGTTTGAGAACACTCAATCCAACTCAAAGCTCACAAGCAAGAATTAAGGATACTCACCATCTGGAGCAAAGAGATTTAGCAGTCTACTGCCTATTGCAAATTGAACCCTTTAGGGCCTTTGCAATGCTTCTGCCCCTCATTTTAAAGGGTCATCCCCCAAAAAGGAGACTAGAAAGTGCTCGCATTGAAGGGAAACTTTAACAAGATACAGCCTGGGGAAAGAAATGATAAAAAGAAAGGACATTGGGGGCTTGTTTAGATGCTATTATGTGATGCTCTTGGGGTTGTCCTGAACTTCTGTGCTCCTACTTTTTGAGTAAATTGCTTTTCCAAGTGTCTTTAGGGGAAATTAAATATAAACAATTAATAAGTATTGTAAAGATTACTTTAAAGTGCTCTCAGTAGGCTTTTGCTATGATTGCTATTATTTCTAATAAATAAATGAAGGGAGAGGGGTTCAGTTTTTTTTTTTTCATAATAAGGCTTTGCTAAAAATGATAAGGGTTTGCTGTTTTGTTTGTTTGTTGTTTTTTTTCCCTGGTGAAATACAAGTAGATACTTTAGTAGTGGTAATGCTAAGAAACATTCAAAGAGCAAGAAAGCATGTTAAGCTTAAAAGTAGGGCTTATTGCAATAACTTTTTGGTATAGTTTTCTAAAATTTCTGCTAACTTCTTACATGGAGAGAGTTACAGAGTTATAAGCAGGTAGGAGCTAGTCTAGGAATGAGCATTTTTAAATACTGATGTCAATAGAATAGTAAATGGTTTTTCCACTTGATAACTTTCCCGATGTTCTGTTTGCTTCTGTTGAGAGTGAATTCCAAAGCTTATATGCATTACTTAGCAGTTAAAACAGTTGCTACCCAATATCTTTAACTTACCAAGGGAAACTCCTATTTTTCCTGAAAGAAAAAAGTTAGAAAACTACGTTCTTGGTAGCACACAGGATAGATAGACATACAGATATATAGATAAAAACTTACATTCATAAGTTAAGAAACAGAAAGTTCTTACTTCTTCGTGACTAAGAGCTAAATCCAAAACCAGAGTCAAGTACTTATCTCCAAAAGGATTTCAACAACAGCTCTGATATCTAAATAACTTTAGAGATGCAATTTGTACATAACACTGACTGCGTATAAATCATCAATTCATGTAGAACAGTTCCAGAGAAAAACAGCTCAAGAAAATCAAAACAGCTTTGCAACCAACGCCTAGGCTGTATAAGGTCTCTGTAACTTCACTGATTTTGGTAAAGTAATACTAATTTACACCAGCGGGAATCTGCACGACAAATGAAGTGAGTGGGAACCAGGTCTGATTTTGCAATGAGCTGCTGCCTCCGGGTGAAGTCACTTCAGCCTTGGAAGCTGTTTGGGACAGAAGAGCTTTGCAAAGAAGCCTGACAAGGTCCACCTTCACTTTTGAGCAAAACAAGTGTATTCCCTTCAAGAAATACCTTTTGCTCTAACCCTGCATTGCTGCCCCTTCTTTAAGTAATCCTGATAGGGAGAAGAGCAATTTTGAGGAGATATCTAGGTGGGTTTTAGGCAAACAGTGGAAAGCACTTGAACAGCAAATACACCAACTGCCTGCCTGATACCTTCCCGGAAGTGAGATGAGGTTTACTAGGAGAGAAAGGGAAAGGGAAAGGGAAAAGGAAAGGGAAAAGGAAAATGGGGTTGACTCTAAACATTGGGTACACCTGGCCTGGAGGGAGAGGCCTATGCAGGTATTTAGTGTTAAGGAGCATGGACATGAAACATCTGTTGACTACATGTGGACAGTGTCTTCTAAACAAGGTGTTTATTTTGTGACTGCATAAAACTGATATTCCCTGTTCTTGGGTTGCTGTGGTGGCAGTGGAGGGTATCAGTGTTGTTCTGGCACAGAGGGAAGAAAGAAGACTCTCTTGTCACTCACCTTTCAGTAGTGTTGAAGTCTTTCCTGCTTTTCACTGATGACATTATGATTTTGTTGCTTTGTTTTCCAAACAGCATATGTACTGTCTTGCCTTGTGACTCTGACCTGTGGATGTACAGCCAAAAAGGGGGGCAGAACATGGAAATGTCTCCATGTAGTTCAGATGCTGTCTGGGACTTGCACATGCAAAGATGGAGCAGGAGTGACATGTCATTGTAACTGCATGGGGTTTCTTGCAGGGGCAGTGCAGCGTGTGTTTCTGTCTCAAATCTATGTCAACCTTCAGCTGTGGAACAGGATAAACCAACATTTGGGACTCTGTGCAGGGGAGTAAACTAACTGTGAGGGGAATAAACTAACTTTTGTGGCTCTGGCATCCTTTTTGAGGAGAATAGTCCCCCTAGGCTGGCTGAGTGGGAGGACCTTAATGTGAGCAGTTTAGATTTACGGTAAACCTCTGTGAGTTTTAAGATGATAGGTGTGGTTTTAGCTGATTTATTCTTATGATTTATTGTCTTTCTCTTTTGCTTTAAGTGTAAAGCAGCTTCAAAGCAATGTTTTAGAAAACAGCACCTTGGTTCTTTGTCCTTGACCCCAGCCTGTTTTTCTCTGCAAAGAAACAAGGCTTTTTTTTCTGTCAACTGTTCGAGAAACTAAAAGCTTTGTGTTTCCATGACCTAGCCTATTTTTTAGTGCTAAGGAGATTTTAGCAGAAAATCCTTAAAAAAAACCAACAATGCCCTAAATGTTTTAGGTGAACTTTTGTCTCATCTATGGATGTGGAGAGAGAATGGTTTTGATTAGGGATCTCAGGCACAGGGGAGGGCAGGCAGCTTACCTGGGTGTGCTAAGCACAGCTAGGGGATGCTGGTGTTGGCTCCCTGGACCAGTACACGTGAGCGAATACCCCACCAAGTATGTGGCAGTGATTTGATGTGACAGCTACTACTGTTCCCAAAGCAAACGGTGTGCACCAAAAAGAATTAGGATGATGCTTTGGATGCTGCATTAGCAGGAGATAAAGATATTTTGTGGCTTCTTGTACCTTAATTCTGGACCAGACAGAGTTTGAGAGAACGGTGTTCTCATAAGGGCATTTATGCAGCTCAGAAGAGACCTCAGATCTGGGCCCTGTTCCAAAATATGGATTTGTTAGAGAAGACGTATTTATGCTGATGGAATGGGTACTTTTGGGGTTGAGTAGAAACTGAGCAGGGCATTTGAGGTTGGGACATAAGAACCACAAATTATGGTCTAGCCGCTTTTGTTTATTTATTTATTTATTTATTTGTGGCCATGACTGCAACTTTTCCCTGTATCTCAATCCCTCTGATGTAAAGGGGAACTGAAGCAGTTTTTACTTTCTAGGGACACGATAAGAATATAGGTTGTGAGGTGTTCTTTCATGATGATGTTATAAAGTGAAAAAGAATATAAAACTGCTGACCTCACTCATGGCACAGTGTATGTTGAAGCATACGGAGCACTGGGCTGGTGGTCAAAAACTTAGGTTTATTTTTTCTCTTGGCTGCTGAGTTGCTGCATGGCCTTGAGTGTATGACTTCCTCTCTTCTGTTTCTTTTGGCTTGCACTTTTGTTAAAGCATGAACAGCACCCTGCACAGTAAGGCATTTATTGCAGCTGAGCTTTCCATATGCAACCGTATTGCATAAGGCAAACTTATGAATTATTTCTATTGGTTGTCTGATAGAAAACAAATGTATTCTTACTCTTGTAGTAGAATGTCATTACTATTGCAAGGCAATGGAGTTCCTCCCAGCTGTGCAAAGCTGGTGACAGAACTAGGAAGCTTTGAACTTCCCGTGAATTTGCTAATGCATGGGTAGTCACTAACTGGCAAGTAGAATTTTCCTTCATGCTTGTTTGTGGGTGAAATTCATTCCTCTCTGTTTAGGCTTATATAGCTACTTAAGCTGAGGCTGATGTAGAGGGCTTAAAGACTGCATAGGTGTGCAATTGCTCTCTGTGAAGGAGCTCAAGCTTTTAATTTCCTATCTGCTGTTAATTTTCCTTTAGGGTGGGATATGTGGTGAAGAAGTTGGATTCTCTTCAAATCATCTGGAGTTTGGAGCTAGAATCATACTTGGCATGAAGAGTTAAACAACACTGATATCAGTGAGCATCATCTTTGTACAGCAGTGTCCTGAATCAGACACAGGGAATTTAGTTCAATGACTCTTGGTTTTGTATCAGTTGACTGGAAGTCACATACTGTTTCCTACCTGCTTGTAAGGCCAGAAAGTCCAAAAGGTCTGCTTCCGTTTGCATACCACCTTCTTTTCTAATGCTAGACAGAGGTACCCAATTAGATCCAGACCTCACTAATCCTGTCTTAAACCCAATGACTAGATTATGCATTTGAAAAACTAAAAGATTTCTGAATTGCTCACAGGAAATTCAACTGTTCTGTGGAAGGGGATCAAGGCAGCTTGAGTGGGGCAACCTGCCTGCCAGCTGATGTTACTCACCTCTGCAGGGAAAGAGAGTGTATTTATAGCTTAGTTTTCAGAAGACAAGGCCTATATGGTGGTGTCACTGCCTCTGACTCTCCACTCCAAAGATTTCTGAACCTATTATCCAATCTCAGATAAATTGACTAAGTCAAAAATCAGAGTTACTAAACTGGAAGAAATTTCATGAAAATGTGTCTCTGGGTAGCGAAGAGATATTAAAATTAAAAAAGCTCTAGACAGAAACCACATGCATGGCTCAACCATATTAGCTTAAAGAACTCAAATGCTATTGGTCAAAAAAAAGCCTTTCAGATTTTCTGTGTTTCCCAGTACATTTAGCTGTCTCAGATGGTACCTATTGAAGGAATGTTATTAGTGAAAAATTTCATAATAAGAGCACTGGTGAATCAGACTAGAGCCAATCTGGTGCTCCTTAGTGGCTCCAGTGACAAGTAGGCACAGCCAGCCCTGCTTACTACCAGGACCCTTTTTGTCCATATTGCGTACTTAAGGATCAATTTACAGCCTTTGTAGATCAGACCAGGCATGGGCAGGGATTGTGATTTGGTGATTCGAGACAGCCAGCATGGCTTCACCAGGGGCAAGTCCTGCCTGACCAGGCTAGTGGTCTTCTAGAATGGAGTATGTACATCAATGGACAAAGTAAGGGCTACGAATGTTGTCTATCGGGACTTCTGTAAAGCCTTTGACACAGTTCCCCACAACATCCTTCTCTCCATATTGGAGAGATAGGGATTTGATGGATGGATTCTTTGGTGGATGGGGATTTGATTGGATAGTCACATCCAGAGGGTACTGGTCAAAGGCTCAATGTCTAGATGGACAACAGTGCCAAGTGGCATCCCTTAGGGATCTGTACTGGAACCAGTACTGTTTAATATCTTTAACAGTGACATAGAGAGTGGGATTAAGTGCACCATCAGCAACTTTGCAGACAACACCATGCTGAGTGGTGCAGCTGATAAGCCTGAAGGACAGGATGTTGTCCAGAGGGACTTGGACAAGCTTGAGAATAGGGCCCATGAGAAACTCATGAGGTTCAACAAGGTCAAGTGCAAGGTATGGCACCTGGGTCAGATCAATACCCAGTATCAACAGAGGCTGGAGGATGAAAGGATTGAGGAGAAGGACTTGGGGGGACTGATGGATGGTGGATGAAAGATTGGACATAAGCCAGCAATTTGTGCTTGGAGCCGAGAAAGACAATGATATCTTGGGCTGAATTCAAAAGAGCGTGGCTAGCACGTCAAGCTAGATGATTCTGCCCCTTTGCTCTGCTCTGGTGAAACCCCACCTGGAGTACTGCATCCAGCTTGAGTTCTCAGTACAGGAAAGACTGTTGGAGAAGATCTAGGGGATAATAAAAATGATCAGAGTGATGGTAGACATCTCCTCTGAGGAAAGGCTGAGAGAGCTAGGCTTGTTCAGCTTGGAGGAAAGAAAGTTCTGCTGAGACCTTGTTATGGCCTTTCAGTTCTTTAAAAGGGCTTATAAGAAAGATGGGGAGAGACTTTTTAGCAGGGCCTGTTGTAATAGGACAAGGGGTGAGGGTTTTAAACTAAACCAGGGGAGATTGATTCGGAGAAATCAGATTGGATATGAGGAAAATATTCTTCTCAGTGAGGGTGGTAAAATCCTGGCACAGATTGCCCAGATTGCTGGTGGGTGCACCATCCCTGGAGACATTCAAGGCTAGGTAGGATTTAATTCTGGACAACCTGATCTAGCTGATGATGTCTCTGATCATCGCAGGGGGTTGGACTATATGAACTGTGAAGGTCCCTTCCAACCCAAGTTATTGAAAGATTCCATGATTATCTACAGCATGGTCTGCTATG